ACAAGTATCACTGAGCCAAGTAACACTTCATACCCCAAAACAACCCAGTTGGATCCTCCGGACCTGTCTGCCAAGCTCTGAAGGCGCATGTGTAGACCCAGCCCCAGGCCCAACCCCAGCAAGTCTTCACTTCTGTCTGAGGGCTGCAGGTTGCCCACCAGGACCACACAGCAAGGGCCAGCCAGCCTGGGTCCTGGCCAACCTGCCCAGCCATCCTGCTGGTCTACCAGGTAACTGGGGCCTTCTCAGGTTACTCAGAGGATCACTTTGCCTTAGAAACTCCAGCTGTCACCTCAGGCTCATCAGTAACTGATGCCAAGGCCCTCAGCAGCAGAGGGCCAGCCACAAGCAAGTGTCTCCAGGCGTTCTGCAAGCCCCGTGCTTTGTCCTCCAAAGCCACTGCAATCATCAGCAAAGAAGGTAAGCAAATAAGGTGAGAGGGTGTAGCACCCAAAACTCTATGATGGGAGACCTCGGGATGTCTCTTTCTCATGCCAGGACACCTAGGAGGTTGACTATTAGGCACACCCTCCCCGCCATGCCCCAGGACTCTGGGGAATGAGCCTTTGTATACTGGTCCTTGCAAACCTGGATTCCTGCCTCCAAAGGAAGGTGAGGGAGGAGAGAGTGGCCTAGACTGGGGGCTCTAGGTGGGTGGGAGAGAGAGTCAGTCTGCAGGGCTGGGGACACACTGGATGGTTTGATATTGTTCAAAAGCCCTGGGGGCCTCAGTGCTGGCAATCTCCCTGGCCCTGCAGGTTCCCCAGGTTGGGTGTAAAGGTGTTAAGATTCATTTGCTCTGGCTTCTAATGGGCAGCCCTGCCACCCAGCATAGGTGTTCTGATCAGGACAGGTGCGCACATGGAGGAGGAAGGATGTACCCAGCCCCAGATTCAGTTTTTAGCCTGTCCCTCATTTTTTTTTAATAATTATTTATTTTATTTTATTTATTTTTAGTTTGATCAGAGAGAGACAGAGGGTGAGAGAGAAAGGAAGTGAGAAAGCAAGCCACCAGATTCAGGACTCAAACCCCGGTCGGCCATGTGGGAGTGTCCAGCATCTTAACCACCATGCCACCTGCTGGTCCCAGCCTGTCCCTCTTTGATGGTGAAGGTGTTTCTCTCTCAATACTAGAACTGGCCTCACCACCTCCAAGATGTGGTGGTATCCTCACCACGCCTCGTCCCAGTGGCCCACAGGAGCCCACCAATGACAGAGGAAGTGTCCCCGAGGCTCTATGCCTGGTGGCCAGCATCACAACTTGGAACTTGAGAATAAGAGCCCCTGGAGGAGGGTTCAGGACTGATCCTACCAGCTTCAGGGTGTGACTACCTCTGCCCACCCAGTATGAGGCTTTCTCACACTGTGCCCTCTAGTGGCCAGATGGCTGGAAGTCACTCAAAGACATTTCCTCCTGGTCTGTCATGCTGTGAACACTCCTCCCTGCCCCCAACTCCCTAGCTTCCAAGAATTGTTTCTCAGGCTTCCTGGGGTAGGCTGATTCCTGGGTGAGGGAGCCAGAGGGAGGGTGACCCCTGTGAGGGTTTCCAAGCATCTGGAGAGGACAGAGGGGCACCGAGTCCAGGGCCTTTAAAAACCAGTCCTCAGAGGTTCCTCTAGACTGAAGTCAGGAGGCTCTCAGACACAGACCAGAATGAGCCTTCCTATCTCACACTGACTACCATGCCAGAGGCCCCAGGGACTCATGTAGGGAATCCTTGCTCTAAACAGACAGAAACACACATTGACGGCTCCATTCAGAGCAGTCCGTCTTTGCCTCCCCAGGTTGTCTGGGTCCTCAGGACACCTCACCAGCCCACGTAATCGGCCTCTTTAAAACAGACACCTCTCCCTGAGCCCATCCTAGAGCCCAGAGAACCAGACTCTGAATCAGCCATACCATCACACCCAAGGAAGGCAAGAGGAGTCTTAGAAGTGGCAAATGTCCTACTGTAATTAGTAGAAAAAGAGATGGTACTTCTTTTTTTTAAAGAAAAGGAATTATTTATTCAATTTTATTTATTTATTAAGTCATTTATTTTAATTTGACCAGAAAGAAACAGAGGGAGGGGGGAAGGAGAAAGTGAGAATGCAAGCCAACAGGTCTGGGATTTGAACCGTGGTCAGCCATGTGGGAGTGTCTAGCACTTTAAAAACCACGCCACCTGCTGATCCCCCCCCCTTAAAAAAAAAAAAGAATTACTTATTCGATTTTATTAATTCTTTTTTTTAATAGAGCATAGATTAGTTTATTTTTAACACCCATCATGCCATGAATTCATAGGGAATAGGTTCCAGAAGCTCAGGCTCCTTTCCATTGGTTCTCACAAAGTGTGCTTCTCTGGGTGGAGCAGGCTGGCGCTTTAGTTGAACTCAGGAACCTTTCTCTTTGGCTTCCTTCTTTCTCTGGTCATTTTCCTTCATAAGTTTTAGGAAGCTATCTCTGCTCTTAGAATGCTTCACATGCTCAATACGCACATTAATTCTCTTGGCAAGAATCTTGCCCTTAACTTGTTTGTTTATGACAATGCCAACAGCATGCTGGCTAACATTGTAGACTCTTCCAGTTTTGCCATGGTAACATTTGTGGGCCATTCCTTTTTGAACAGTACCCATTCCCTTGGTGTCTACAATATCACCTTTCTTGTAGATTCACATATA